TTATTTTACGTAAAATAAAAGTGTAACCCTTGTCTTAAGTCATTACCTCTTATCTTACTCCGTCCTCTTTGTAATTATACCTTTTATCCCTTAACGTTTGATCATCTTGACCATTGTTGAAATTCCAAACCTTGATTTTATTCTTAAAGTAACATGATGGACAAAGGTTTCCGATATCATGGACATCATAGATATCATGGGACGTGTTTTATATATTTATCTACGTTATATTCATTTATTTTATACGTTATATAAAATATTTCAATAAACAATAAATTCTTTTTAAAGTCCAAGATTTTCTTTGTACTATATATGCTAGGTAAATTTAATCCTTTTCTAAAAAAAATTAATCTTTATATATGATAGATTACAAGGGTTGGTTAGCTTTTAGAATTTAATGTTAAAAAAAAAAAAAAAAACACACACACACACACAATATCCGGCACTATTCTATTGTCACAGTTACAAAAAGACTAGCAGATTTTACATATCAGATATAAGATAAAGAACACGAGAATATATGCTAGCTTATCTTTATTTGTACAAATATTATTTATTTAGTCACGCATTAAAAATGGATAAGCTTTTCAGTTTTCGGAAAGATTTCAAAGCTTTTCTTTTTTTGGAATGGGTACGCAAAGCTTGAGAAAAGGAAACAAGAAAAGATTTCATGACCTAATCAAATATCCGAATAATTGAATTAGCCTTTGCGTGTCTCAATTTTTAAGAACCAATAATATTACAAATAGTCGCGAAAAAAAAAAATAAATAAAATTTAGTGAATTTATAAGGAAATTCACCTCCCATGCTGGATGCGCTCGTGGCGTGTAATCGTAATATTCATTTTGTAGGGCGTAAAAATTTCATACACAGTTTTCCCATGTGCTAGAATTAAAGTCCATACTTGTCCTAATCTAATTAATTTTAGGCAACCGCCCTTTCCACGAGTGCAAGACTAAATTAATCCAATCATTTAATTAAATATTTTGTCAACCTGCATAACATGTATAATAAAATTTTTCTGCAAAGAATAACCGAGAACGTAAATTATGAAATGGTACATAAAATGTTATAATGTTATATTAAATGCTATAGTTTATCACAATAAGCTTTAATTCTTGACGATGAAACCTATATGTAGTAAATGTATTAACTACTGTCCTCTGCATTGTGTATTTTTATTTTAAGAAAACAAAGGTAAATTTCGATCCATTTTCAAT